GCCATTAAGTATGACAGAGTTACCGTTCTGATTATGTCTTCTTGTGACGTGACCACGTGCATCAAATGTAAATGTTCCACTGTTCTCTCAGCATCCAGACATTTTTACTGGGTGTCTGTGTGAAAATGTCTGGAACAAGTCAACAAGCAAACGCCGCAGACGTCGGCCTGCCCTCCTCTTCCTCCTTGAGGACACCGCAGGGCTGCAGCACACGTGTGAAAACAGTTCTCGTTCGTTTGTTTTGTGGACTGAAAATAAATGGGACCCCGAGCTCACGGTCAYGCTTTAGTTGTTCCAAACAGCTTTCTGTCTGTCTCCAGATTAACGTGAGCGACATCGTGAAAGAGATGAGACTCCAGCGGCACGGGATGATCCAAACCAAGGTGGGTGCAAGCGATGGAGGTAAAAAAAAAAAGTACATTTAGGGCTTTTAAAAAGAAACGCTGGATGTGTTTTTTTTTTCCTTTGTTTTTCAGGAACAGTATCTCTTCTGCTACAAAGTCTGGTTGGACGTTTTACAGGGAATTTTACAGCTTCAAGGCAACCAGTGGCAACCAGACAGTCCCAGAGACCACAAAGTAGTCTGATTGTTTCAGTGTCCCGCTCAGCTGCAGGACAAAGCCCAGGCAGCGTATGCTCGACAGTCTGCCCCAGCAGAGCGATACACTGACATCGTTCCATTTGATGGTTGCTCCTTTAATCAGCTCTGAAATCTGTTTATGTCTATTTTGCTACAACGAAAACGTTAATTTTTTAATGTATCTGTTGTCTGCGTATGTCTTCTTGGTGCTTTAATTAAATCAGCTTAGATCACCAAGGTTGTTTTGCCTTTCAGGGTTTAGTCAAACGCCTTCTGTTTAGTTATTTAATCTTCCAGATTTTATTTATTTCATTTGGGCTTTTTTTTTTTTTTTTACAGCGTAGAATGCAAAACCTGGTTACCTTAGCTCTTCTATTGACCAAAATTGTCAAGGAGGTGGAAGCTCATCAAACCAAAGTTAGTGTTTGTTTTGTCACATTCATGTGTAGCTTTTATGTTTTTGTCTTATTTAAGTGCACTCGTACCCTGGAGAAAGGGGCATTAGCTGTCGATATTTAATTTGTCGTGTAGAGAAACGAAAGAATCAAGTGCCTTGGAAAGACACAACCCACTTGCTCAACAATGAACCACGAGTTGTAAGCAGTAGGGGTACAAAAAAACAAGAAACTGATTCAACAGCAACTGATGGTGGTTTGAATGTAGAGTTTTCATTCTGTCTGTGGTTTAAGATGAACATCTGGTTTATTCAAATCCAGCAGGATTGCATCGCATCTTATGAATAGTTCTGCTTTAACCTTGAGAGCTTGCTGTAATTTTTAATTTGTGGGTTCATTTTATACAAACCGCCATCATAATCGAAGAGTAAACAATGTAAATCTAACTACTATACTCTGATACAGATAAAGAATGATTCCTCTTAAAAAGTTTAGCTAAAAAAAAGAAGTTTTTCAATTCTCTTTTACTAAAATTTGGACATATAACCACAAAGTATTCAGATTTCTTTTGTAAAATGTACAAAAAAATCAATTACAGTCTMATTTAAAATGATTGATTGCTAGGCTTTTCAGTGCAATTTACTAAACAATGACATCCTTTATCTGTATTCAGCAGCTATTTTATTACAAACTCAGACAAAAATGCAAAAAATATCACAAAGTTTACAGAACTCCACCTCCACAGTCACAGATCGAAGATGATTTATAGCTCATGGTTTGAACCTCAACTTTGGATGTCACTGCTTATGAGCTTTGTTCATTCAGCTGCTAACACACACACATACACACACACACACTCGCACACACACCAGCTCCTTATTGCATGCAGACTCAAAAAAGTCCAGACATCCAAGCCTGCAGTTTGATCAAATTACTTGAACTTGATGAAAATACGGAATGTAACAAAGCAACTCTTTCCACGTGAAGGAGGATCCGAATGTCTTTTTTTTCTTACCTGAGAACATTTCCCAAAGTGTTTGGAGCATGCTGGAAAGACATATACTATACTGTACTTTTGCCATGTGGGTGGCTGTGCAGAGCCATCGGCCTCTGTAACGTGTATGCAACATCTCCTCACTCAGTGCTGGACACCTGGTTTCCAGCRAAAACTGACCTTCAGTTTTGTGCAAGTTCTCCTCAAGACTCCGTTGATCGTATTTTCAGCCTCACATCTTGGAAACAATGGGCAAAAGCACCTTTTGCATTCATATGTGAAAATGCATCTTGTACAGTCAAGGCGAGTGCTTATGCAAAAAAATATATATAATAATTTAAAAAAGCATTGTGAAATGTTATAACCCTTAATTGCACAGCTGCTTATTTATGCTAAATTAAACTCTTGTCACTGTTACCAGCCACTATGTAACCAATAACTGATGTAATACCTCTCTCTTTAATTAAAATCTATTCTGAAACTTGTTTGCGTGTTATAAAACACACTTTTACCCTCGGCTCCTAACACACACACCATAACTCAAGTTAAACAACAAAACAAGAGCAGTGGAGTGGGGTTTTTAGAGAACAGAAGAGCCGAGGGTGGCCCTAAATCTAATTCCACTGCACCGCCGCTCCACTTTTACTGCAGGGTATACTCCCTCTTGGGTTTTACTGCAGGGTAAATAAGCTGGTCTCACAGGAGCCTTTTGTGACGGCATGGAAACCCCTGGAAACACACACCAGTGCTCTGCGCACACATAAACCTGAAGCTGGGGAAGCAGCAGAGCTGATTTACTTGCTCGCTTTTCTTTATGTCCGGTCCCTCTGCCCTTGTACACGGTTTCTTCTAGCCCACACGATCCCCCCGCCATCACCCGCCCAGTCCACTTCCTTCTTATTCTCCTTCAGAACTTGTTATTGCCGTAAGTTACTGCAAGAACAACAGCAACTGAAGTTATTCGGGGGCCATTGCCGTTACTAGAAACATGATTTCATAAAACAGATGACTTTCAAACCCCAAGATAGTAAGAATTACTGCCTGGCTTAAATATGATAAAAGATGGGAATGATTTCTGTAAATCAGCCGCACCAAAGGCTCAGAGTATATGTTTAATGTAATATGGACTAAAAGAGCTGGGGAGTTGTTGGTAAAAAAAATCATTACGAGGACCCATCAGTCAGAAAAACAAGTTACTGCTGTCAGAAACCAGACACCAAGTTGTTTCTTTTGCTCTCTGGTAACAGAAGCTTAAAGCATCCACTCCTACTGCTGATCCATTTTTTTTCTTTGTTGCTCCACTGCCTCCTGTCAAATTTGACCTTCTCTTTATGAGTCTTTATAAAACCCTTTAAAATATGTGGAACTATTGTGTTACTGATGCAGCTTCAACTTTTTACTCACTGGTGAATTATAAAAGTCCAAGGCCTGTGTATAAAAAGGGGTGGGGCTTAAGAACTTTCACACAATAAAAAGGCCGTTATAAAAGTTATTTTCTTGTTTGCTTGTTTGTTTGTTTGCTTTATTTTTTCCCCAGGGAACATGTTGATATTTGAGAATAATTTCATGCATTTTTATTTTTTTAATTAATTAATTTAAAAAAAATTCGGGGGGTGCGTAAGGTAGGGGGCACATTTTGCAAAATCCACTTTTTTAGCCATTAAATGCACTTTATTGTGCAGGTGGAGTCTCTGGGAGTGCAGAAAAGATAAATTTAGCCCCTCCCGGTGCTGCATGGGTATTTTACTTTTCTTTCGGGATCATATTTTTCAACCTGTTCAGCTTTTCTATGACGTTTTCTGAACTATTACGTCATACTAGAATGAGCCGGTCTGGAAGCTGGAGGGGGACGGTGTGTCAAGCGTCTCCTTTGGACTTAAAGAGACAGCATCAAAACGAGTTGCTCTGAAACCACTGAAGAAAAATGGTGAAAGGGGGGCTTGTGGAGTTACAATAAGGAGGAATTCAGACCAAAGCATTGCCGTTCCACTTTATATAGACCCCAACTGAAAGATTTAAATGTGATAAAGAAGGATTTAAAAGACATGTCTCCTTTAAAGTCAATAAATCTTTAGGATACATGTAATTTTTTGAAAGCCAGTAAATTCATCACACACTGAATGAGCCTAAAACATCTCTAATTTTGTGTTAAGTCAGGACATGGGCCTAAAACACTGGATCTGTTCTTTACTATCCCATCACACTGAGTTTAAGCAGTAAAATAAACGGTCTCTGATGTTTTTCTGTGTTGTTGTTGACCATGCCCTTTTGTAAGCCGACCCCCTTAGACTCCTCTGCGATGACAGCTGTCTGACACAAACACAGAGAGCCTTTCATTCACTCTTGACCAGAAACTCCCCGGTCTCCTCGGTCTTTCAAAAAAAACATGTTTTGTTAAAGAAAGTGGAGTGTGATGACGGTCTTGGATGTTCAAGCTCAATTATCTTACACTGGGCTTTCTGTCTTGATCGGCAAATTGGGTCTAGAATTTCAAGTAATTATACTTTAAGATTTTTTTTCCCATTTGAATTGTGTCTATTAATTTAGAAAACAAATAGCTGACAAGAATAATCATTGTGGATTAGAGTTTGCCGTCAATGCAGATTCTGTTTCAAGCAAATCATTTAAGGATAAAGTAAAAAGTTCAGTGTGAAGTAAGAAAACGAGGCATCTTGTCTAAACATTAATGACGTCTTTTAAAACCACACAGGTATATTAGTAGCAAACAAAGTTTTTCATTTGTCCCTAATGGTTTTGGTTTGTGAGCTCTGAAATGCTAAGTACTGACAAAACTTTAAAAAAGCAGCTTTTTCCATGATCACAGCATGCAAGCTCTGCAAAAAACAAAAACATGAGCTATTATCAATCAACATTCGCTTTGCTTTTGCGGATAGTTGCCAGGAGAAATAGTGCTGTATTTAACGCTAAGTGCCATGTGAAATTAAAATTACATTTATTGCTATTTTAAAGGCTACTACCTATAAGTGAACTAAATTAAAATTTAAGTGAAACAGGGCTTGAGGTTATTTGATAATTTGCCAAACGTGGATTTTAGGATCATAAATGAAGGGAGATCTATTTAAATGCTGAAAAACTGCAATTTGCTGCAAAAAGGCCTCTTTGTTAACYGACTCCCCTGCGTCATTGTAGCAAGGACGATGTTCTCTTTGTCACACTCTCTCCAGAATCTCATGCTGCATCGGAGCAAGGCTGATCAGCACCTGCTTTCCATTAGGTGACTTTCTCAAAACGCCTTAGAAAGACAAAAAGCAAGCCTCGTGCCTCGTCGTGTCAAAGATGTTGCTAAATTAGAAAGCTATTAAATCAAAGGAGTGGACGGATGAAGGCGCGAGGGGCATCGTTTGTCTTCATTTGAGCGGGCCCTCCATGATCGCCTCCGCAGGGCCGTCTAATTGAAAAAGGCCTTCAGAAATGCAATTGTTAGCAGCGATAATAATTTATTACTTTCAGCTTGTGCAGTCCTGGGAGTCATTTGTATTCATTAGTGTAAATTCAAATTATGTTTGTGATTAAAATGTGACTTTGACAGGCAGGGGGACCTCAGACAGAGACAGGCACTGATGAGACCTTTGCTCCGGGTCACTGCTTCCTGCTTTCTCCTCTTGCGAAAAACGAGGTGAAGGAGCCTGTTTTTGCCTCACCACCATCAATCTGTGTCTGACTCAAGTTGGGAAGTTGGCTTTGATGGCCTCTGCTTAAAGCCTGTGTTTACACTTTGAGCAGGCAAAATGAAACGAACATCTAAAAGATCAATCACAGGGAGAAACYGAGACCCCCTAACTGAAGAGTTGTTCTAATCTTTTCTCTTTTATTAAGCTCGTCATGAGGGTGAGCGCAGGTTTCTGTTCGCTCCTCCTGAACAATCCTGGGCCAAGCCTTTCTGCAAATGTCAAACGGTGATTTCTTTGACATCCAGAAGAAGATGGCAGTTAAGTAGGTCAGTGTCACTGTGATGAACATCAACCGTGGCGGGTCAGTGGCTGGGCTACTCCTCCACTTGCCCGCCTGTCACAAACCAGAGCCAGAGGAGGCGAAGGAGCTGACTGATCTTTTATTGAAACCCAGTAAATGACTTCAGCGCAGGCCATATCTGCATAATGAAGAGAACTTCATTAGCTGCACGCTGGTCCTGTTTTATTGACCTGACAGGTCTCTGGTGAGGATGTTCTGCAAAGGGGGACAAAGCTGGAGCAAAAATGGGTGTTTTTTTCTTTTTTAAGGCGTTTGTGTTGGACTTGAGAATGTCAAAAATAATCCAATGAGAAACAGAAGCGATTCTAGAAGTGAGTCTACTAATTCAGACCCAAATATCTCCATGTAAGCTTAATATATGTTTAAAAAAAAACAATAAATGTGTGTGGGTAAATGAGAAACTTTAAATGTTTTGCAGACATGGGAAAATTAAAAGGGCATAAAATATGTGTGGCCTATTTACCAATTCTGTGAATCGTGCAAAATGTCAGAAAAACTAATCAAAGCTTAAGTGCAGGTAGGACAAGTTTATTTGAATCCGAATTGCTAAATAAAATTTTCTCACAGAAGCAAATCTTCTATTAATTTGGCTAATCAGACTGTGCACAGACAAAAAGATGTAAAGTTATGATATATTTATATTTTCTAAAACCAAAAAAGAAATTGTTGTTGGACTTGCAACCCGTCCAGGKTGTACGCCGCCCCTCGTACTGTGACTGCTGGATATGGGCACCAGTGACCCCAGTGACCCTGAAAGGAAGAAGCAGGTATAGACAATGGATGCATGAATCATAACTGCTAGATGAGGTAAATGTCACCAGGGCTGGCCCATGGCATAGGCAGTATAGGCAAAGGCCAAGGGTGCCGTCCATCTAGGGGGTGCCACAAATGGGAGACAAAAACTTTTTTCACTTTTTATCAGAAAAATAATTTATTTAGTCATACTTTATGAAGGGAAATTGTAGTATAATGGAAGTTTCAGTTATGATCTCAAATAAAGTTCTAGTTAAAGTCTGGTTTTCAGTGATCGACCTTCATAAAATACTGATTTTATGTTTTATTTATCCCAAGAATCTAGTAAAATACTGTTCAGAGGGCTGAAAAATGCATATAGAGTAGATTTTTTGTTAAATTTTCTGAGGCTTTATACCCTTGGACCCTCCAAGAACTGCTTCACTACACAGCTGTTTGTTAACCTGACCAGGTGTCTCTCGTTTCTGTCAGCAGATGTGGACAGGTAGACTTCTGGTTTTCTTTTTCAAATTAATTGTATTGTGAACTCATTTGATTGGACAAACTAATTTCCAAAGATAAAAAAAAAATAAAATGAAAAACAAAACTGTTTATTTTGGTATGTGAATCATGTAAACTGGCAGTAAAAAAAAATGCAAAGGGGGCCCCACCTAAAATCTTGCCTAGAGTGCCAAATTAGCTAGGGCCGGCCCTAAATGTCACACATTGAAACAATTCATAGATTTGTATTCTAGAAGAA